AAGCCCTTTCCCTCTCCCCCCCCCACCTTCCCCCCCAGCAGACTGCTGGGCTGGCCGTGTGCAAACTGTGTCTGTGTGCATGCACGTGGAATTTATCAGCGACATTATTGGCCACATCAGCCAAGAAAAGCTGATTACTGTTAATGTCAATTTTCCTTCCGTCAGTGCCAATACGATATGGACCAATGTATAGGTGCACCTCTACTTTTTGTTTTACCTTCCTGTGGATGTAGACAGACATAATAACAGTACTAATAAAGAATACTGATATAAATGGCAATGATGCACTTGTTACCTCTGCATGACTCTGGAGTGATACAAGTGTAGCAAAATCACTTCAACTGTAATCCTGCTTCATTCAGGGTCAAAATTCAGACTATTTAGCTTGCTTGTATTGCCCCAGGCTCATGCAGATGTAACATACACAGGTTAACTGCTGATACAGGTTCTCAAGCTGCAGCTCATTCTCCTCCCTTTTAAAGTAACTAAAATGTAAATTTTCCATACCCTGCAACTACAGGGCTTCCCGACATAACATCAAATCAATTTAAGCAAAAAAATGAAAATTAAAAATTAAAAAACCCCAATGTTTAAGTGTAAATCCAGATTAAAAAAAATATAATTTGGAGTGAAACAAATATTGTTTATTCAAGTTCTTTGAATACAAGAGTAGTGATAATGCAAGCTGGAAAAAGGTGCTTTCTTCCTAATAGCTGATATCTAGGAATTGTATCACTGCTTTGTCCTGACTTAAAGATCAAGGACCACTTAAGTGGGACTTAGGCAGGAATTAAACATGCAATTCCTAAGGAGCAATTCAAATTTACTCAGTACCAGCATGCCTAAATCCACCATGCCATTCCAGTTAGGTCTGCAAGGGTAATGCCTCACAGCATTGTTTTTCCATTTTCCATTAGACATTCATTGGTTAAAAAACAGAAATCAGTTTGGTAAACAGAGATTAGAATGCAGAATTGCAGTCTCTCAAGAGAGTGCCCTCAATACCAAGCTCCGTCTTCCTTGTTTTCTTTTTGGCCCCAAGATGCTTGCATTCTTGCCTGACCAGGGACCCAGATTTAAACAGGAATGAGGGGACAATACCTTCATCTAGCTTATTCTGTGGCCTGGTAGTTAGGGCATTTTCTATTTCCACTGGGAAATGGAAGATCTGGGTTCAAATCTGTTTGGGAGGGAGGGGAGATCTAGAACTTGAGCCTGCCTTGTCTGGGGTACAAAGCAAGTACCATCATTCATTCTGATTTGCCTACCTTCTAAAACTAAGTATGTGGTGATCTTAGAAGTATGTACAAGTTTTGTGAATTGCAAGTAAATCAGGACATATAATTGATACCTAGAAGCCTTAGCATTTCCCACTGACTACCTCTAAGTGACTCCAGTGGAGTCTCTTCAAGTATGCATATACCATCCCTCATTCTCTATACTGCATACCCATTCTCTACATAATATATCTAAACCTACTTGAAGCCTCTCCAGTGACTCTATGGGTATGCTAAATGCCTAACTAGGTAATTCTGTATTTTGCTCCTCAAGCAGGCACTCAACAGTTATGCCATGCCCCATATTTAGATATATACTAATACTATTTGAATACTGTTGCTTACTACCTTTTCACAAATAAATGTTAAAACTTCAAAGCTGGCTAGAATGTAAGACACAAAACTTCAAAAACCAAAACCTACTAAACTAGTAAACACTATTTTATGTGAGAGGGAGATGTAGGCATATTTGAAATTTGCCCCCTGGAAAGAAGCCTTGCATTTTGATAAATTTTGCCTGCTCTTAAGCAATACACCACATTTTCCTGTTTTCTTCTTCTCAGATACAAACCAGAAAACAAGTCCAGCACAAGGACTTCTATTACAGATGGATCAGGTTTGTCATTTGCACACACCTCACACAATACTGTTACTTTCTTCGAAAGGAGGAATGGCCATCTATGAGGATTAGTTGTTTGAAGAACTGCTGCTAAACAATTTATAAGGCTCCATAAGGTGGCAATGCTTCATGTTTGTCTAGACTGTTAAATGACTGTCTAGATTTTATCACCTCATTTCTTCTCTTTCACATTTTACATGTCCTAAGGGGAAAAGACTGATGAGATTAGAATACATGGCAGAATGCATTTACTTGTACCCTCAAGTCCGTATCTGTAAATCCTAAATCCACCATATTATTCTTTTAAAATAAATGTGCAGGAACTCTTTAATTTTGCTCACTGAACATATGCAAACTTACTGCATCTTGTTTGTATAATTGGCTGTTAGTGAAGTTTAATGCCATTCATATGATCTATAATGTACTTGATTTTCTTATTTTCTATTATTTTGTTACCTCACTTAATAGAAACACAAAACCAATTTATAAGCTGAATTCTGTCACTAAGGGAGGCAAACAGCTAAAGAAAAAAAGAACAAGGACAGCAGTAGAGGAGTTCCTCTGCAGAGAAACAGCAGATCAAGTTTCCTCTTTGCAAACCAGAAGATGCACTGTGGAATTCCATTTGTTCCTCCTTTACCTCCTTTAAGCAGATGCAAAGTAGTCACTTAACTGCTTTGAGCTATGGTGCTTTCTAGGATTTGAAATGTCCCTTTTTGAGGCCAGGAATCTGTCAAATCTAACTCTAAAGTCTTACCTTGAAAAACACACAAAATATCACCTTCTTACTCAACAGAATTACTTGAAAAACATATTAATTCGTATTTGTTGACCTCAGCAACAAAAGTTTGAACTGATACCCTGGTTGGCATTACAGAAATAGCGCTTAGTAAGACTGTTCCATATTTACTTGTACGCCAACAATGGAATTATTCATAAAGTTTCAATTACATACATACAATTTACTGAAAACAACTGGGTTGATCAGTTACCTTGAAGATCCTATCTTGAAAGTAACATGGCTGCAGAGATGTCACAAATGTCCCTGACAGACATTAAATTAAGACATGATTAACCAGTTAATCATATTTTAAGTGCTGTTCTGGCCACATTTTCAATTAGTGGATAGCATGATAAAATGAGGATTATGGTACAAAGTTATATAAAACGTGTAATAACTTTCTAGTTGGTTTCTATCATGCCTTTATTTGAACGTGTGGCCAGTGCCCAACCTCTGGAGCACACAGAGGCTGCGTGCTCCAGAGGCTGGAAGGCCCCTCAGCTGACTGGAGCTCCCAGGTGGGGGTAGGGGGCATGCATCCTGCATTCCCACAGCTGAGACGCCCAGTCAGATGATTAGGGAGGGAGGGTACCATATGCTCAGGTAGCTGGGAACCCTGCTGAGATGACCAGAGTTCCAAACTGGGGGAGCACACCTTGTAGGTGTGCATCAGATCCTGCAGCAAATCTCATTGCACTTTTAATGTTTGTTAGGGGCCAAAGATGAATATCTGCTCATATAAAAGTCAAAACCACATATAGCTGGCTTGTTCAGCAATTAAAAGACTGCCCAATACGTAGGTGGCTAATTAATCCTTCTAGCTAGTATCACTGTTAGTGCTGTGCTATCCGCAGCTTGAAAATGACCAGGTCTTGTCAATTCGAGCCTGCTATTAAAGGCAAGGCCTTCTAAGTAACAGTGCAATGAACTGCCAATATCTGATCAAAGGCTAATCACAGGCATTCAGTAAAAAAGTAGCAAGTCTAAATGAGGTGTAAGAACACTCTGTTCTCCTAAAAATTAACAGGCCTGTTTATACTGGCTCAAGCAATGCCTTTAACATTAGAAATCAATTGAGTTTGGAAAACTCCTAGTTCCATTTGCATGATTTAAATGGCTGCTCCCTTTGGCACAAGTCTGAAATGAGGCTCAAAGTTTCACCTCTGGAGCCACAATAAGATTAAATTAACCACAGTGCTACTATGCCCAAT